GCAGCTCCAGCTCCAGCAGCACTAGTACCGCCAGCAGCTCCAGCAGGACCAACTCCAGTAGCCCCAGCAGCACCCCCAGTCTCAGCAGCACGTCTCCAGCGGCGGGCAAACCACTCGCGCAGCTCCTGTGGAGAGAGTGGCTCCCGCCTCGACGAAGCACCGCCGGCGGCCACACGAGCAGACCCAGCGCCCCCAGGCTCGGCACCCCCAGGCTCCGCACCCCCAGGCTCCGCACCCCCAGACCCAGCACCCCCAGGCTCAGCAACCCCAGACTCAGCACCCCCAGACTCAGTACCCCCTGACTCCGCACCCCCAGGCTCCGCACCCCCAGTCTCAGCACCCCCAGACCCGGCACCCGCAGGTTCAGCACCTCTAGCAGCACCAGAGTCAACAGCTACCTCGACAGGCTCGACTGCTTCTACCTGGGACACACCTGACGGGGCAGGACCCTGACGGGGGAGGGGGTCTACCGGGGGAGGACCTGGTGCAAGGAAGAGCGGCGGTAGGGGGAGGGGCGCAGTGTGGTAGGGGAAGAGACGGTAGTAAGGCACCGACTCGTCGAACGTGACGTCCTGGGAGGATAGAACACGGCGCGAGGTGGGGTGGTAAAACTGCCACTCAGGCGCGTCAGGGGGGAAGCCAAGGAAGACGCAGTGAACAGCACGGGGGGACAGCTTGTCCGCAGACAAGTCGCGGACAAACGCCCGAGATCCCCAGACCCGAAACGCAGACGCATCGCCAACCTTCCCGGTCCACCGCAAGGCGGGGGAGGTCTCTGGCAAGGAGACCCGGGGCTGAAGGTTGAGCTGATGCGCGGCGTACTGAACTGCAAACGGCCACAGAAAATGGGGGGCAGCTGCATGCATCATGGACGTACGAGGGACGTCCTTGACCATGCCAATGCGGCGCTCAGCAATCCCATTTTGCTGTGGAGAGACCGGAAGCGTGAACGTCTGGCGGATGCCCTGTGCACGTTAGAAGGCTCCCAGACGGGCAGAGGAAAACTCCCCGCCTCTGTCAGAGTGCAGACGCAGAACAGGAAAGTCGGAGCCGAAACTCTCTCTGAGCTAGAGACGAGCTGCGCGGATCCAGTCGATCAACACCTCAGTGACGTCACCCGTGCTGCGCAAGGGGAAGACTGTGGTGTAACGCGAGTAGTCGTCAACCAACAACAGGAAGTAACGCTCGTGCCCCTGTCCACGGACGCGGGCGGGGCCGCACACGTCCATGTGGAGGGTCTGTAGCGGAGCCTCTGTCGGAGGAAACTCGGAGGAGTGAGGGGCGGCGCGCTGTCGCCCCTCGACGCAGGGGACGCAGGTAGGGCCAGGCCCCGGAGGTAGGGGAGGGAGAGACCGAGGGAGACCAGAGACAAGGACACGGGAGGCCATGCCTCGGAGACGAGGCAGGGAGGGGTGACCAAGGCGGTGGTGCCAGAGGAGAGTCTGGTGGGACAGTAGACGACACGAGCAGGGAGCAGACTCAGGACCAGACCTGGACGCTGCAGCAAACACCTGACTCGACGCAGCTACCTGGCCAGACTCAGCAGCCGGAGGAGACTCAGTAGTAAGGGTGTACAGGCTCGACCCTGGCCAACGAGTGAACGTGGCCAAGTGTCGGCCTGTCCAAGCACACGTGCAGTGGGTCACTCGCTGACTCGCAGGAGTGAACTGGTCAACCCCCCTATCCTGTAGGTCCGCTCCACTCACCAAGTTCGTAGAGAACGAGGGGAGGTAGAGACCTGATAGGGTGCCAGAGGGGGCTGCCGGGCTTGGTAAGACAGTGGAGAAGCTAGCAAGGACAGGACCCCCAGAGGGGTCTGCCAGGGAGACTTCAACCGGCCGAATGAGCGGCGTAAGAGTGGTTCGGTCTTGAAAGAAGGAGCGGGACGCACCCGAGTCAAGGGTGAAGGTGTGGAAGGCATGAGCCGACGTAGTACCTGAGAGAGCAGACTCACCAGCACCTGGGGCAGCAGACGCACTGGCACCTGGGGCAGCAGACACACTGGCACCTGGGGCAGCAGACGCACTAGCACCTAGAGCAGCAGCCTCACCAGGACCTAGAGCAGTGGCCTCAATGCCCGGGTCAGGCGGTACACACAGGTAACAGTCACCCTCAACACTAGTAGTCACAGAATACATGGCAGCAAGGATAGCATCATACTCAAGATCAAAGACGGCAACCCCCGCCCTAGACAGATCTCCCAAGCAAGGGATCTCTGACGCCTCAGGGAACTGGCAACGCCACGCGTCCGTCAGGCGACCGAAGCAGCGCTGGGTGGAGTGCGTAAGTGCAGGGACCAAAACCCCCACCGCGCTGGCGCGGAGTGTACCACTCACGAAGCTGCTGAGGGGACAGGGTCACACCACTCCGCTGCTGCTGGCGCGGACCACCACCTGAGCCACTCCTCTGCGCAGAGTCGCGACCCGCTCCACCACCGCCACCTCCGCCGCCGCCGCCTCCGCCGCCGCCTCCTCCTCCTCCGCCACCTCCGCCGCCTCCGCTCCCTCCGCCACCACCGCCGCCTCTGCCGCCTCCACTGCTGCCGCCGCCGCCGCCACCCCCGGCACCACTCCCACTACCACCCCCACTCCCTCCACTGCCTCCACCACCACCTCCACCGCCCCCGCCAGCCCCTCCAGCGCCCTTGCCCCCCTTGCCCTTGCCGGTGCGGCGTCTCCCGCTCGGGGCAGACGCAGCGCCGACCGACTCGAAACCAACGAGGTCGGCAGCAGCAGCAGAGGCAACAGAGGGCACGAGGGGAGAGGGAGAACACCCCTCAAAGACGGGTGTGCGAGGGTCACCACGAGAGGCTCCTACAGCGACTATACTCTTCTTGACGAGAAGTGAGAATGGAGTGAATGAACTATGAAATAGTTGGGTACAAGTACTAACCCTAATTGGGTTGTACCCTTTATGGGCTACCCCACTACAGCCTACAAAAATGTATAAGCTATAATGTTCTGACACACCCCCATAGGCAAAGTGGGGTAGAACAAGTGGTCACGAGACCAGTCAAGCAAAGCAAGCTCACGGTGGATCACAAAGTCACCACACAGTCCAAGCACAAGAGTAAGGCCACAAGGCTAGTTCACATGCAAGGTCATATATATAAAGGTCAGGTCGAGTGCAGGTCATCAGGTAAATGAGGCAGCCAAAAAGCTCTGGGTACGGGCCACTCGACTCTACGGACTCATCCGAAGGCAGAGCTGAGAGCGAGTGACGAATAGGCAGAGGAGTGGCCTGAGGCGAGGAGTACGTGAAGCCGAAGCGCTGAAGGACCTGCTGCACCATGTGTGACTGAGTCAGGGTAATGGTGCGCTGTGCTCTATCCCGAGTGATCTGCAAGCCAAGGTAGCTGCGCAGTTCACCCAGGTCTGTGCACGTGTGTCTCTTCTGCAGCTCGGACTTCACGTGGGCGAGTCCAGCAGTGTCAACATTGGCAAAGACCAGGTCGTCGACGTACACGAGGATGTAGAACAACGGAAAAGAGGTGTCGGTGCGTAGAAATAGCGACGCGTCGGCTGTAGAAGGAGCAAACCCAAGAGCCGCAAGTGTAGTCCTCAGTGTGTCGTGCCACTCATGGGGCGCCTGGCGGAGACCGTAGACTGGCCGCCGGAGGCTCCACTGGGTGCCAGGAGGAAACGACCCAGTGAAGCCAGGAGGGCGGCGCAGACAGATCTCCTCGTGCAGGCTGCCCTGCAGGAAAGCTGTGCTGAAGTCAAGAGAGTGAAGCTCGTAGTCGCGCTGAGCGGCTATGTGCAGCAGCACCCGAAGAGTGGTCATCTTCGGGGTGGGAGAGAAGGTCTGAAAGTAGTCAACTCCCTGCCGCTGACTGAAGCCTCGAGCCACATAACGCGCCTTGAAGACAGGCGGAGAGCTCGGCGGCCGCTTCACCCTGAAGATCCACATGCCACTGACGATGTTCGCCCCAGGTGGGGGAACCTCGTCGACGTAGGTGCCTGTGGACTTCCAGGAAGCCATCTCTGCGTCCATGGCTGACTGCCACTGAGAGGAGTAGGGACCCTCGATCGCCTCAGCGTACGATCGAGGAGTCGGGATGTCTGGTGCATCCGGGTCTCCCTCAAGGGCAATCAGCGTGGACACGAGATGGGGCAAAGCAGCCGCAAAGCACTGGAACTCCTCCTGCCTGTCCTCAAGGACGTCCGTGCTAAGAGCACACTCACCCCCGACGGACGGAGGACAGACATACTCAGACTCAGCAACAAGACTGGCAGCGTAGTCTAGACGACAGCGAGCAGCGAAGTCGACAAGCTCAGCAACGAGAGCAGGCGCAGCAGCAGACTCAAAGGAAGGGTAAGTGACGACAGTAGCAAGAAGGCGCGTGACCGAAGGACTAGCAGCACGAAGGGAGTCAGACTCCGGGTCAGCAAGAGAAGGAAGAGAGGACTGTGGAGGAGACGGCAACGGGACACGCAGAGGAGCAGTGGAAGGACGCAGTGCCATCTGGTGTGTGCCGGGGACCGCAGGAGGACGCGAACGTGCAGTACGACCACTAGTGCGAGCAGCACGAACAGGTGACGCGGGACGAGACGCAGGCTCACGACGCTCAGCAAGACCTCCAGTAGGACCAATGTAGGGAGAAGGAGCAGGTAGAGGGGAGGCGGGCGGTAACTGTGACTGCGACTGGACAGGCGGTGGACACTCTAGGGGAGGAGCAGGTTCTTGGTCTCCCGCCCTCCGGGCAGGGAAGGAAAAAAAAAGTTCGTGGTGGGCCCTAGGCAGTATTCCCACTCGGGAACCTGCTCTGATACCATGACGAGAAGTGAGAATGGAGTGAATGAACTATGAAACACTTGGGTACAAGTACTAACCCTAATTGGGTTGTACCACTTATGGGCTACCCCACTACAGCCTACACAAATGTATAAGCTATAATGTTCTGACACTTCTCCGCTGCTAGGAGGGCCTTCTCGAGGAGGTCAACAGTGAGAGTGGTGTGCCAAACTGAGAGGAAGTGGTCCCTGACTACGCGGAGAGAGTCAGGGAGCCGGGTGACTATGTAGTAGAGGGTGATGTACATGGGGGGGGGGGTTCTTGGCGCAGAACTCAGCAGGAAGCGCAACGCGGTAGCGAGTATCACTAGTGCGGAGGTGCGTAATGAGGTCAGCGACTATGGGAAACGCAGCAAGGTCAGGGAAGAGGTACGGTAGCGTGAGGCGGCTCAGTGCAGCAGTGGCATGGGAGGAGTAGCGTGCAACTACAGCGTCGTACAAGGTCTGAGCAGTCTTGTACTGGCTAAAGTGTGCACGCTCAGTGGTCGGTAAGTGACGGCACACAGCAAGGCGAGCAGCAGCATCACGCGTGGCCCACTGTGAGCGAACAGTGGCGTCAGCATCAGCAGCAGGGGCAGGAGAGGCACCAGAAGTGAGGTCAAACAGGGAGAGACCGTCTGCCCTATCGCACTGTAGGAAAAGCTGCAGATCATCTACCCAGACCTCAAAGTCAACTGCCCGACCCTCAGCGTCAAAGGTGAGAACACTAGGGGAGGCCATGACAGCAGTAGACAGGCAGTGAGTACAGTGGGGCAGGGTAGTGCAGTGGCAGAGGCGCTGCTCTTACCAGGTAAGTGAGGCGGACCCGGGCAGGCCGACAGTCGGCGGCGCCTCGGCTGCAGTGCGGCTCGGCGGCTCGGCAGCACAGGCGGCTCGGCGGCTCACCGGCTCGGTGGCTCGGCGGCGCAGCGGCTCGGCAGCTTGGCAGCAAAGGCGGCTCGGCAGGGCCGCTGAAGGGCGGCGACGGGGCCGCTGAAAGGGCGGCGACGGGGCCGCGGAAGGGCGGCAACGGGGCCGCTGAAGGGTGGCGACGGGGCCGCAGGTAGGGGCGGCGACGGGGCCGCTGAAAGGGCGGGCAACAGGGCCGCAGAAGGGCGGTGACGGGGCCGCAGAAAGGCGGCGACGGGGCCGCTGAAGGGCGGCGACGGGGCCGCTGAAAGGGCGGCGACAAGGCCGCGGAAGGACGGCGACAGGGCCGCTGAAAGGGCGGCGACAGGGCGCTGAAAGGGCGGCGACGAGGCCGCTGAAGGGCGGCGACGAGGCCGCAGGTAGGGGCGGCGACGGGGCCGCTGAAAGGGCGGCGACAGGGTCGTGGAAGGGCGGCGACGGGGCCGCTGAAAGGCGGCGACGGGGCTGCTGAAGGGCGGCGACGGGGCCGCTGAAAGGGCGGCGACGGGGCCGCGGAAGGGCGGCGACAGGGCTGCTGAAAGGGCAGCGACAGGGCCGCGGAAGGGGTGGGGGGCAACGGGGCCGCTGAAAGGCGGCGACGGGGCCGCGGAAGGGCGGCAACGGGGCCGCTGAAGGGTGGCGACGGGGCCGCAGTTAGGGGCGGCGACGGGGCCGCTGAAAGGGCGGCGACAGGGCCACCTAAGGGCGGCAACGGGGCCGCTTAAAGGGCGGCGCGACGGGGCCGCAGGGGCGGCGCGACGGGGCCGCAAGGGCGGCGCGACGGGGCCGTTAGGGGCCGTAAGAGGGGCCGTTAGGGGCTGTAAGAGGGGGAACGACACAGGGCGCGACTCGGGCAGGGGCCAAGCGCGCTCCGGGCAGGAAAAAAAAAGATCGGTGGGCCCTAGGAACAGTTCCCACGAGGGAACCAGCTCTATACCATGTGAAGATTAGAACGAGAGAATGATTGAACTATGAAACAGTTGGGTACAAGTACTAACCCTAATTGGGTTGTACCCCTTATGGGCTACCCCACTACAGCCTACACAGATGTATAAGCTATAATGTTCTGACACTGGTTAGCTGGGAGCGTCTGGCAGTGGCCAGCTGCAGCTGTAGCGGTTTCCGCACGAGACACTTACGCCCCAGCAGCTTCGTGAGTGGTACGCTCAGACTAGAGGGTCTCAGAGTACCGTTCGCTACCCGTACGTCATTCGCACAGGTGATCGGGCTGGTCAGGCTTGCGGGACGCATAGTCACACACAGTCCCGTTGCTTCGCCCGTCTGAGCGACGCCTGGCGTGACGACGCTGAGCTCCCCACCTGGCTGGAGCTGCTTAGGCAGAGGGTAGATATCTTTGCTATTGACTATGATGCTATTCTCACTGCCATGTATGCATTGCCTACTAGTGCTGAAGGTGCCTGTTATCTGTGCATACCGCCTGACCCAGGTATAGAGCCCGCTGCTCTAGGTGCTGGTGAGGCTGCTGCTCTGGATGCTCGTGCGTCTCCTACTCTAGGTGCTGGTGTGGCTGCTGCTCTAGGTGCTAGTGCGTCTCTTGCTCTAGGTGCTGGTGAGACTGCTGCATGAGCATGAACTTCCACAGAGTCTGGGAAGGACCAGTTCCCCGCGGATTCCACGCTGCCGCTGACCAGTGTGGCAGCATCTTGAATATGATTTTGCAAAACGGCTCGGTGGTGTTAGTGTCTCCAATGGTTTCGCGATGTCGGTCGACGTATTTTCTGCACAAGAGAGCGGGCGAGGGTGACGATTGAGTGTGAGCGGCGTCGGTTAACATTGGCGGGTAAATTAGATAGGACTGGAAAAGTCGGCGATGGTTATCTTACTTGTTGTCAGCTTTGTTCTTTGCGCGAACCATGACATGCACTTCCGTGCGGACGACCGAGATGTCCTGCATGATGTGCAGCTCCTTCTCCCGGTAGAGGGTCGCCTCTATCTTGGCCGCCATCTAAAGGGCTTTGATGCGGCCGAGTAGCATGTTGACCGTGCAAGGTTTGATCGGCCGCGTGCGCATGGCGGTGTTGCCCTCTTCGCTCCTTATCGCCTCGATGATGGTCTCTCGCGCTCTGAACAAGACGTAAGCGCGAATTCGTGGCTCGTTGGTCCTCGGGCTGTGCAACTAGATGAACTGGCACGGGGCGATGTGCCAATCTTCGCCCAAATCATCGCCGATGCTTGCCGATTTCGTCCTTGTCAGTGAGTGTCGAACCCGGCTCCAAGTCGTCGCCTTCTGCCAAAAGCGAATCCACCGCCCACCGCTTGTAGTCTAGTATCAACGATATGTACTGCCGCAACGACGACCCTTCTTCGAGCGTCTCCGTGTGGCGAAGGGCATTGGCTATCAGCACTTCGATGTCGCTGTTCCTGAGATCCCCGACCACAAACTCAGCCGCCGTAAACTCTCCTCGCAGGACGCTCGCGTGCAGCCTATCCTCATCCACGTCCTCGTCCTCGGCCAACGCCTCCTCTATCTCTCTTCTAACCCTCTCGACTCGAGTGAGCGGCCGACGTCGGCGTCTAGGTCCCGGACTGGGCTGGGGTTCCTCCTCTTCTTCGCTAGACGAAGATTCCTCCTGCTGCGTCGGCTGGCTAGGGCGTCGCTTTTGGGGGTCCCCTATCGGTGTCGGCGGAATGTCAGGGTCGACAAGAATTTTAGCCAGAGCGTCTAGATCGTAAATCAAACGCAGCGTCACTGCCGGATTGGTGGCGGGGCGGACACCGGTCGGCGTGGTGGTGTCACCGGTCAGGTTCACCGCCGCCTGGGCTGCCAGCGGAACGTAGTCCGACATGTTGGCCTCGCCCGAAGGTCCTAATGTCAAACTCATATCATATAGCTTGTCTAGGCTATAGTGGGGTAGACACTATGGGGTACAGTTTCCTAGGGTTTCCTACTTGTACCCAACCTTGTGCTAGTTCATTCATTCCTCATTCTTCACATGGTATAGAGCAGGTTCCCTCGTGGGAACGCTTCTCAGGGCCCACCACCTAACTCGACCTTTTTTTTCCTGCCCGAGGCGTGCCCCGTAGGTCGCCCTCACGTTGCGCCCTCCTAGAGGCCCCTCGCGCCACCCTTAGCGGCCCCGTCGCCGTCCTTAGCGACCCCGTCGCCGCCCCTCTAGGCCCCTCGCGGCCCCTTCACGGCCCCGTCGCTGCCGCTTTAGGCCCCGTCGCCGCCGCTCTAGGCCCCTCGCGGCCCCTTCACGGCCCCGCCGCCGCCGCTCTAGGCCCCGTCGCCGCCGCTCTAGGCCCCTAATGAGACACTAATGTGTGAAACGGTGATAAATAAGTTTAAGATGTAGTTTCGAGATTTTTTACAGAATTAAATCTTGATATATTACATAAATTTCTTCTTACATAGTGTGACAATTATACCATCCAGAAGTGGCATGATAGCTATTTATAAGCAGAACTATTTGAAAGATAGCATTATAGCTATTGAATTGTACAAAAACGCAGAACCTTGCTTTCGTATGGGGAAGGAAACCGACTGCTTGACATGCTTCGTGTGGTATGGCGGTAAACGGGCAGGAAAATGGATTCTGATATTCTTGAGTGACTCCTATCAGTACCCCAGGTCTTAGCGGAAACCAATTCTTTCAAAGTACAAGCAACAAATAAAGGGAAAAGAACCACATGGGAACATGAAAGGCACATGGTTCGCGAGACCATGTTCGGAATTTTCCACCTAGTCCTTTTCTTTGTGCGAGTTCCTTGACTCCAGAATGCTCCAATGTTGGTTTTTACCAGTGGTCATCCCAACAGAACGCAAGTTGACAGGCTCAGCCATCCGAGGTTGCATCTTACATTTGCTGCTTGCCATTGTCCCTTCCTTCCTTGCAGCACTCCGGCCGACTGCCATTAGAAACAGCAGGCTAAGCCAGTGCCGTCCAAGACTGTCCACGAACCAACCCCAAAGGGACATCTTCATAAAAAAAAAGGTGCTCTTTGGTGGTACAGAATGGGACAAGTCATAGGCATCCCACTGCATGGTTCCTGCTGCGGAAGCCCTCTATGCCTTCTTGACTCGACATCGTCATTCCGATTGCTGCTACTATTCGCTTACGTGGCCCGTAGGGAATCGGGAGGTATCGATTTCCGGACGGACGTTTCCTGTATTCCAGGCTCTGCGTCGTCGTCTGTGGGTTGAACCCATCAGACACGTACCACGCGATTTATGAAGCAGCGCTTATAACACTCACCCGTTCATGCAGCGCCGCCATGATTGCCGCGTGTCGCGCTCCTCGCTACGTCGCCCGAGACAGCGATGAAGCACAGCCAGCCGCAGCATCACCCGCAGCAGCAGCAACAGCAACTATCCGCATGCCACGCCCAGCATTTAACACCGCTGCCTGTCGCGGCGACGACGCCGAATCTCGGGAAGCAGTCCAGGTAGGCCATGAAACTGGAGCTCGCGCGAGCGTCGCTAGAACTGGACCGGGAGCATAGCGAATTCGCGTCCCGTGGAAGATTTTGGAGCTCTAAGGAGGGTGTAACGCCACTCGACCCCAGGCGTCCAGCGTCCAGCCGTCAGGCGACCAGCCGTCAGGCTTCCAGCCGTCAGGCAGTTAACCGTCCAGCCGTGCAGAAATTTAGCCACATGGGCTTTGAGCTTGCGAATTTCACTTGTAGGGGAAAGTTCGCGACCCTAGTACGAGTACAGGTGTATCGTCACAGTGCTCGTTGCTCCTCGAAATCCTTCTTCTCAGGCTTTCCACCCCGGGGCGTCAACCCAACGGGTTCTAGCAGCGAAGCGTATGACCTTGACTGCCGCGCGCACGTTGCACGCCGATGCACGCAGGAGGCAGCACATGTGATGTGTATTGCCAGGATTTGACTTTTGAGTCGACTCAAAAGTCACGCAGGAGGCAGCACATGTGATGTGTATTGCCAGGATTTGTGTGGTGGTAACACTGGGCGGGTGGGTTCCCGCGAGCATGAATCATGTCACCCCTGTTCGAGTCGAGGTCGCTCCGGTAACACGGAGAGACAGGTTCTCATCTGCGGAGAAAGGGAGGGGAGAGTGGGGCGAACGGGGAACGGAGTTTGCATGGCTTTGGTCGGGTTCGCACAATAGACCCCCTTCTCCTCTTCCCTCTAACCTCCGCTTTCCCCCCACTTCTCCCCATCTTTCCCCCTTCCCTTCCTCGTTTTCCCCGTTTCCCGGCCGCCACCCCTTCCCGTTTTCCTCAGATTCCGGCTGCACCTTGTTCATCCTCACGCCATGGGTGGAATCTTCTCGAATGCAGCCCTCCATGCGGCGCGTGTCAGTCACCTTCACCCCAGCAAGAACTGGCTGGTCCATGCTGTTGCAGTGCCCCGCGGGGACGTGGCGCAAGGATGAGCGGGTTTGCGCCACCACCCATGAATGCTGATGTGCGGCTGTTGTCACTGCTGCTGCTGCTGCTGCTGCACGGTCTGAGGTGGCAGGGTGCCATGGCGCAAGTCACACTCAATGACGACGAATGTATGTGCGTGCGTGTGTGTGTGTGTGTGTGTGTGTGTGTGTGTGTGTGTGTGTGTGTGTGTGTGTGTGTGTGTGTGTGTGCGCGCGCGTGTGTGTGTGTGTGTTTGTAGCATGCTGCTGCGGCTGCTGCCACTGCCGCTGCCACGGCTGCTGCTGCTACTGCACTACTGGTACTGCTGTTCCACGCTGCCCGCGCGCTGAAACAGTTTCACCCTGTAATCGCGGACCCACTTGGCTTCGCTTCGCCTGCTGCGCATTCCGTGAATGCACTGCTCCTCCTCCTCCCCTTTCCCAACCCGCCCGCCCATTGATCAATCCATGCGCGCTCTGCACTCCCTCCCGTCCCATTCCGTTCGCCTGCGAACACGGTACGCCCGTGCCCACGCCAGGGCCGGCAATAAAGGAGATGAAGGCGGCGCTGACGTTCTCAGGGTGGGACACGTGGGTGCAGGGCGCCGTGTGCAGCACCATGACCGGCATCACCTGTGATATTAGCGGCTATGTCACCCGCATGTGAGCCTGCCTGCCAGCCATGCTGGCATGTGTAGAAAGTAGATTTGTGAGACGTCTCAAAAATCTACTTTCTTCACCCGCATGTGAGCCTGCCAGCCAGCCATGCTGGCATAGGTGTGGTGTGGCTTGGGATGGTTCTTGAGTCGACCCAAAGAATGGGTGCTAAGCTTGGGTCAACTCAAGTCAGGAAGTGTGCACGAGCATGGCACGCGTCACGTGTGATGCCAGCAGCTATGTTACCCGCATGTGAGCGAACCATGCTGGGGTGGGAGAAGAAAAGGGGGAGAGGGAGGGTGGCTTGGGATCGATGATGGTGGGTTACTTGGGTGGTGACATGGCACATGATGTGATGGGTGGTGGTGGGATGGGTGGTGGGATGGGTGGCATGGGATGGTAGGGATGGACGGGACCATGCATACAGAGGGCAAGGGTGCGTAGAGTTGGGATGGAGAGAGAGAGTTTCGTTGATGGGAAACCAGTGCATGCATATGGCTTCTGAGGGGCCGCAAGAATGATACATGCACATGGATCATCATGTTATCCACACCTCTCCTCATGGCTGTTGCTTGTTCGTGATACATGCCTTCCCCTCACTCCCTCACGTGCCTGCTCCCGTGCCTCCTTCCATGCCTGCTTCCATGCCTGCTTCCATGCCTGCTTCCATGCCTGCTTCCATGCCTGCTTCCGTGCCTGCTTTTCCCGTGCAGCAAAGTGCCGGACTTTTCAGGCTCACTGCCAGCGGCCATCGGAGACCTCATACATCTCAACTACCTGTCAGTGCATGCGCCTGGGATGTGCCTGGGCCTTATGGTTTGCCATATGCGTTGAACGTTTGGTGTGTCATGCCATGCTATGCTATGCCATCTGCACTGCACGTGCTGTGTGGCGAACCATGTCTTATCCATCATTCGCATTGCATCCATAGTGTTGTTTCTGTCAGGGATGAGGTTAGTCACATGCATGGGTGCATGTGGCGGTCGTATGTGTGTGTGTGCTGTGCATGCCCACGCCACGAATTCTCTCTCTTATAGCGCCATCTGTGCTGCCTTGTGGCTCCGTAATGCTCTCTTTAGCTCAGCCCTACCATTCCCGCACCGCACATGCTCACCTGCCATCTCCCCTCCCCGACGTGGCACATCACATCACATCACATCGCATGCCATCACATGCCATCACATGCCATCACACGCCATGACATGGCACCAGGTTCTGTGTGTCAGACAGCCTCACGGGGCCCCTTCCAAATTCCATCTCCAAACTCACCAACCTGAAAACGCTGTGAGCCGGGGCGTGGGGAGGGAACGTGGGGGAGAAATAGGGAGGAACAGGGAGAGAGAGAGAGGTCGTGGGGGGGGAGGGTTGGAAGAGAGAGTACATAGGGGGGAATGGATTAGGTTTGTGCGGGAGGCAGGGAGGAGTAGGGGGAGGAGTTAAGGGTACCATGGGATAGGGGGAAGTTTCAAAGTTGTTGCTAACCAACCCCCGCCTGCAACTTTTGTACAAGTTTTTTGTTCACTCCTTCTGAACCATGCTATATCCCTTCCATTCCTTTGAACTATGCTTTTTCATGAGTCCTCCTGTCTTGGTTTCCACTCGTGCACTTGCGTGCAGACCCCTTCGCACACCGTCCCTAAATCCATTGCACACAGGAACGTCTAGGTCGCTGCTGCTGCTGCTGCCGGAAGTGATGTGCTAGATCTGTGCACCTTCTCTCCCCCCCTCTTCCCCCCGTCCCTCCACCTCTCCCCTTCGCCTCGACATGTGCATGAGTGCTGCATGTGTGCGTGCATGGCATGTGTGCGTGTATGACATGCATGCGTGCATGGCATGATGGCATGGCATGTGTGCGTGCATGGCAGAGTGCTGCCGTCAACAGGCATATCGGGGAGCCTTCCCAAGGAATTAGGCAGCATGGTCAGTCTTGAGTACCTGTAAGTAGACGACTTTTGAGACGTCTCAAAAGAGCATTCCGAAGGAAATAGGCAGCATGGTCAGCCTTGAGTACCTGTAAGCACCACACCACATGCTCCCCAAGGTAAGTAGCCACCTTGACAGCAGCCGCCCTTTTTTGCCTATGCCTTCTCATAACCCGCCAGCATTCCCAAAGGCATAGGCAGGCAGCTTGGTGAGCCTCAACTACCAGGTTGGTAAGTACCAGGCATTTGCAGGCTGTAGGTAACACAACACAACACAACACAAGGACATGCTTTCCAAGCAAGCAAGCAAGCAACCTCCTTGAACCTCTTCTCACTGCATTGCAAGCACACAGCCTAGCTAGCATACACTGTCAACTCCCACACTGTCCGCACTCTCGGAAAGCACTCGATTGAGAGTGCCTCCCTCCCTTCCATCCCTCCTCCCTCGTTGTGGCACCATCCCTGCCCGGTCCCTCTCACAGCAACTTATACGGCACAAGCATTGAGGGCTTCATCCCCACCTCCATCGGCACCCTCAACGCGCTCCAGACTCTGTATGTACACCGCTCTTTGTTTGAGCCAACTGTTTAGATGTATGTATTCGTTTGAGGCACCCTAAAAGTAGGTGATTTTTGAGAATTCTCAAAAATCACTCGCAACGTATGCGTTTAAGGCACCCTAAAAGTAGGCCCCTCCACCTCCATTGGCACCCTCAATGCGCTCCAGACTCTGTATGTGCGGCATTCTTTGTTTGAGGCGATTGTTGACACTGTGTGTGTGTGCTTGATGCGCCTCAAAGATATGCCCCTCCTCCTTCCTCCTCCATTGCAAGACTCAACCCTGCTGACTCTGTATGTATGGCGGAAATGCAGTTGGGCGGAGGAGAGTGTGAGTGAGTCTAGAGTCTTGAGCCTTGTGACTCTGATCTGAAGGTCACCTCGCTACCATACCGTGCTGCACTCGGCTCAAAACTGCAGCGTGCATCTCTGCTGTTGGCTGCCATTTGTTGTTGCTGCTACGCATTTTTATCAATTATATGCAATCAATGTTCCGGTCAACACCCTCTCCCCCCGCTTTCCACTCTGTTGCGGCTCGTTTAAGTACTTGTGCCCTCGTGTGCTCTCTTCCACCCTCTCTTTCCGTCTAACTGCCTCGCCTCTCCTTCCCTCTCCTCCCTTTTCCTCCACTCCACTCACTCCTCTCTCATCCCTCTTTTCTACTTCTGTTAGCAATTCTCCTCCTCCTATGTCAACTTCTCCTTTCCCTTCTCTTTCCCACCTTCCCCTCCCTTCCCCCCCATTTCGTTAACCCTCTCTAACCTTCCCCTCCCCACTGCACACAAATCCTTCCCCTTCCCCTTCCCCACCTTCCTTCCCGCTCCCCCCACCTTCTCCACGTCCCCCACATCACCGCTCCGGCAGCAATCTGGCCTACACGGGCCTGTCAGGGGGTCTACCTGAGGAGATAGGCGGGTGTTCTGCCCTCGCAATGCTGTAAGCTGCTTAGCCGCCACTGCTCACAAGCACATGAGCACACGAGCACTCCATTCCATCCATCCGTTCTTGTAAGCAGGCGTCGTAAGCAGGTGTAACGGATACAGAGGGCGTGTATGGTTTCACGCTTGTATGGTAGGTAGGTAGGACCCAACTTGGCGATACTGCCACCAACCCATGCTTCCAGAAGAAACCCTCCAAACTCATTCTTCACTCGCTCGTTCTGCCGTGGGACAAAATCCCTGTGCGCGCGTACAACACGCGCTTTCTCGTTTGCTTTATAGCATTCTTTGGCCTCCACAACCCACCGCTGGTGTGCTCCATTCTTTCACATTCACATGTTGGCCCTGTTTATTACGGGCTGAATCACTCTCCTCATTCTCTTTCCCCAATCTCCCCTTGCCCTCCCCTGCACTTCAGCTCTCTGTCATTCACTCCAATCTCTGGCTCTCTCCCCACGTCCCTCAGCAAGCTCGTCAGCCTCACCCAGTTGTGGGTTATGTCATCATCATATGCACGCAGAGTCCGTCAATCACACAAGCATGCACATACTCATAAATATGCACGCGCATGCACGCTCACGCATGAACAAGCACAAGGGCGTGTGGGCACATGCGGGCACGCACACACGTGCGCACACACGCACGCACGCACCCACACCCACACGCGCATACGAACACGCGCGCGCGCACGCACACACACACACATACACGCCCGCACACGCACACAGACACACACACACACACACACACACACACGCACACACACATACACACACACACACACGCGCGCCGCATTCACATGTCGACACGACAATGAGCAAGGGAGAGCGCCACTACAGTTACAGTCAAAACACGGCCAGTCACAGCCACACAGTAACAACACCACCTCTAAATCATCTCGTTACCACCAACGCCATTGTTTTATTGCCCCCTCCCCACTGTTTCCACAGCAAATCCTCTCTCCACGTCAGGGCCCAGTCATGTGACGTCCCCCCTTCCACCACACACACCTTCTACCCCTCCCCTTAACCGTTTCAATTTGTAGCATTCCCTTTGCCCCTCGCGCATCTCCTGTCACATTTCCTCTGGCTTTTGTCTGCCTTTCTCGTCTCCCCTTCCTACTGATCCCAAGCACAACCCCGCACGCCCGTTCCTTCCCATCCCCATCCTCCTCCCCATCCCCCTCACGCTCCCTCCACCCCGCGCAGTGACTGCCAGAGGTGTGCGCTCTCAGGGGAATTGCCTAGTACTATGGGCGGTCTCGGCACTCTGCAGTACCTGTGAGTGCTCAACTCAACGCACGGGAACGCAGGGGCGGGAAGCAGTGCTATAGGATTTTTGCAGTAATTGTGAGTGCTAGGGCAAGAGATGCTGCGAGTTGCCTGAGGTGTCTGTTGCAGTATGCACCTGTCTGTGAGGGTTCAAGATATGAGAGTATGGAGACGGGCAGCAGGGAGGATGGCATAATGACGGCTTCTCCCCTCGCCCCACCCAAACCCCTTGACCCCTGTGTGAGCTGAGCAGCAACCTGAACATGAATCAGCTGAGTGGACCACTGCTTAAAGCACTTGAGGGTCTTACCAGCCTCCACACCCTGTGAGTAACATGACACACACACACATCTAGCTGTCCGCACACACTCACACTTGTACACACACGCACGCTCGCATCGCACACACTCGCACGCTCGCACACAAACTCACACACACACACACACACATGCATGCAGATGTACACTCATATTTACAAATACCCACTCCGCTTTCTCCCTCTCTGGTCCCTCTTCTCTGGCGTTTCTACCCTGCTACCCCACCCCACCCCCCCCCCCCCTCTCCAAAAGCCCTTCCACGAGCCTCCTCTGTCACCATCTCCTCTCGCTGTGTCCATTTTCCCTGGCTTCTTGCACGGCACATCTCCTTTCCTCCCCTGTTTGTGCTTTCTTCTTCTCTCCACCGCTCTCATTTGCCATCCCCTCGGAACAAACCTCGCTTATCTCCCCACTTTCCACCATGAGCCCTCAGCATTATATTCCCCTTTTCCCTTCCTCCATCCCTTCCCCTCTCCCATCCCCCCTCCCTTCCACCTTAACTTCGCCTCTCCCTTCCCCAATCCCCGTACCTGCTCCCTCCCCTCTGTCTGCCCCTCTCCCGCCACCAGTCAGCTATCCAACAATGCCATCAGCGGGTCTTTGCCACGCGGCATTAGTCGTCTCACTGCACTCACATGGGCGTGAGTTAGAGAGGGATGGAGGGGGGGGGGGGAGGGGGGGGGGGGGAGGAAGAGGGGGTAGAGGGGAAACCAGGGTGGGTTTTGAGAACTGTCAAAGGTGACACCGGTGAGCATTCTCAAAGTTTCCTTCAGGCAGGCTACCAGGCCAGCAGGCCACCTGTGATGCGTTTGCTACCTCTCCCCCACCCCATGCCTCTCACTGCATCATGCTGACTGGCATGCCTCTCCGGGCTGTCCCTCTTGCGCATCCCCTTTCTTGTTCTTGCTCACCTGCTGTGTCTGAGCTGAGTGTGCATGCATGTGCGTGTGTGGGGAAGGGGGGACTGGGGAGGGGGTGTTCCCGTGGCCTCATGGACATGGGATCACATCGCACTCATGGCATGCATGGCGATGCATGGCAATACAGGGAGATATCAAGCAACGAGTTGAGTGGGTCAATACCTGAAGGCATTGGTGCGCTCACCAACGTGCAGCAGCTGTGAGATTCCATCTGTTCATGCCATGCCACACACCATGCCACGCCACACCATGCCACGCCACACCATGCCACGCCACACAAAGCCACGCCACACCATGCCACGCCACACCAAGCCACGCCACACCATGCCACGCCACACCATGCCACGCCACACCATGCCACGCCACACCAAGCCACGCCACACCATGCCACGCCACACCATGCCACGCCACACCATGCCACGCCACACCAAGCCACGCCACACCATGCCACGCCACACCAAGCCACGCCACACCATGCCACGCCACACCATGCCACGCCACACCATGCCACACCACACCATGCCACGCCACACCATGCCATGCCACACCATTGATAGAATTGGAGCTGAACCGATTGATTAGTAGAGAAGGCACTAGGCCTTAAGTACAAACAAGGTTGGGTTGAGCAAAGCTAGGGAAAGGATGGGATGGGAATCCTAGCAAATCTCCATTGGTGAGCTGGCAGATTTGCTGGATTACGAAGGAATCCCAACCAGATAGGGTTGGGATTGCAATCTACACCCAACCTACAAATAACCTACAAGACATAAAATATAGTACACTAAGTGTTGACAGCCTATTTCTAACAACCATGCCACGCCACACCATGCCACGCCACACCACCATGCTACACCACATCATGCCATGCCACTCATGCCATTGCATCCAACACATGCCATCGCACACCATGGAATTCTCCCTATCCTGACCCGTCACCATGTGCTGCATCGTTGAATCCTCACCATGCAGCGTTGGATCCTCACCATGCAGCGTTGGATCCTCACCATGTGCATGTCAGGTCATGGATGGAAGGAGCGAGTGCAGCTGCATGTCTTACACCAAAAAACTAAACCATCGTCTCCCTCCTCCTTGTCCAAACACAGCAGCTGACTGACTGCTCGCACTCCCCAACCCCCCATGCCATGCCATGCGTGCAGTTCTCTGGACCACAACCAGCTATCAGGCCCTCTGCCCAGCACCATCAGCGACCTCGTTCGTCTCAAGGAGCTGTCAGTGCTGCTCCCCATCTCCCTTCCTCCGCCCACCTGTGCCCTGCCTGCCATGCCACGCCACTGCAGCCCAAGCTGCGTCTGCGCCATGTCGTTCCATCGCCCATGCCATATCATACTTATGCCCTCCCTGCCCTTCATCGCATATCAAGGCGCGCTGCACCACCACCTCGCCTTACCATGCTGCAAGCGGGCTCATCATGCTCTGACTCCCGCTGGCTCTGACTCCCGCTGGCCAGTTCGTTCAGTGCAAGTCTTGCTGTCACTGACTACCTGCCTTGCCCGTCTGTCTGTGTGTGCGTGTGTCTGCATGTGTGTGTCATCCCTGGACGTCATCTGTCGGTTGCATCACCGCACACACCTGCCACTTCCCATACGTTGTTTTCTTGCCGCTAATTTGCTGCGGTCAGTCTCCCTGCACCTTGGGAGCTGCGCTAGTTATTTTGGTGCTGCCTGCCTGCAAGGGCGGTTTTCAGAGAGCTAATACTCACCAGCATATCCTTTCCATCTCCATCCATCCATGCCTTTCATATGATAATCTGGTCCGTGCTCGCTCTACTGAGTGTGTTTTCCCATCCGCGCCATCCCTCTCCCTGGCTGCAGATACCTGACCTTCAACGAGCTCTTTGCGTGCATCCCTGCAGAGATGACTTTTGAGTCGACTCAAAAGTCACCTCGTTACAAAGGCATTTACCCATCCGCCTCATCCCTCTCTCTGCCTGACAGATCTCTGAGTTTCAACGAGTTCTTTGCGTCCATTCCTGCAGAGATCAGCGGCCTTGTTGACCTGCAGTTACTGTGAGTGTGTGCCCATTGGACGTACATGGCTTGGTATGGCATGGCATGTGCATGACGTGACGTTGTGTCGCTTGACCTCTCGCTGCATGGCATAGCGTGGCGTGGCATGGCATGGCATAGCGTGGCATGGAATGGCATGGAATGGCGAGGCATGGCATGGCATGGTGTGGCATGGAATGGCGTGGCATGGCATAGAGTGGCGGGCGTGGCGTGGCATGGCATAGAGTGGCGTGGCGTGGCGTGGCATGGCATGCCGTGACATGGCATGGGGTGACGTTTATTGTGTTGACAAGTGTCTGTGCTGCATTCTGGCCTTGTATCTACGTGAAGCTGTGGTGCAAGTGCAGGATAAACGAACATCCATACTTCCCCTTGCCAACTTCCCTTTCGGCTCCACTCTCCCTCCCTCCACTCTTGCATCTTCCACTCTCGTGCCCTCCACTCTTGCGTCTTCCACTCTTTCGCGTTCCGCAATTCATGCCCTAGAAGCCTCTCAATTCATCCCATTCCTCATCACCCCCGCCATGCATCGCCGTAATCTGCCTCTCACCCCCTTCAACCCCCTCTCACCCCTTCCCCGCCACTCACCGCCCCTGCCATGCGGCCCATGGCAGAGCCAGCCATGTCCAACTGTGAGCTGCTCTGCTCACTGCTTTTGAGGCACCTTAGGATTCCCTTTACACCCCCCGCACCCTCTTCACCCCACTCACCCCCCTCACCCCTCTCACCCATCTCACCCCCCCCACCCCGCTCACCCCCCTCGCCCACCACCGTCGCCACGGCATGGCAGAGCCATGTCCAACTGTGAGCTGCTCGGCTCGCTGCCATCGGAGCTTGGTATGCTCCCCAACCTCGGCTACCTGTGCGTGATGCCTGCCTAACTCACTCCTGCCGCACCCACCCACATCCCTACATCATGTTTCTGCTTCACATCCCTGCCCCACATTCCTAACTCACTCACGTACCTCCTACCTTACTCCACCATCCCTGCCTCTCACGATCAATGGCTAAGAAAAAACTCCCCCAACACTCTCGTGCTCTATCCCAGCTCCCTCCGTCACAACCCTCCCTCTCTCATCTTGCTCCATCTTTCATATCGTTTCCTCTGTCTTCCCTTTTGGACTCCTCGAGATCTAAGTCCCTCAACCCAACCTCTATCACGCCCACCTTACTCCATGCACGTGCATGCTGTTTGTTTCCTCTGCCTCCCTTTCCCCCCTGGTGCTACGCTTCACTGCATGCCTGCAGTGATCTGAGCTTCAACTCCCTCACTGGTTCGCTGCCCTTATATCTCGCCAAGCTTACCGGACTCGATACCTTGTCAGTCCCCCTTGCCCCCGCCTCCTCCTCTTCTCCCTGCTGCCCCTATCACGATAGCGTATCCATCAAAGCCCGTGCATTTTCAAGTGCACGCATTGCACGCTTATCCATCCATCCTACTGTCTGCCAATCAACACCTCTTCCCACCCAACGTATACTCCACTCTTTACCCCCCTCAACTCCACTGGTCCTATAACTCCGCTATTCCCCATGCGTCCTCTCCCGCCCCCCCTCCCTCCTCCCGGCTCCCCTCAGAGACCTGTCCCACAACCAGCTGTCAGGGTCGATTCCAAAGGACCTCCTCCCCACCAACCTCAGACGCCTGTCAGTCCCTCACCCTCTCACCCTGTCAGCCTGTTTGCCTGTTTGCCTGTTTGCCTGTTTGCCTGTTTGCCTGTTTGCCTGTTTGCCTGTTTGCCTGTTTGCCTGTTTGCCTGTTTGCCTGTTTGCCTGTTTGCCTGTTTGCCTGTTTGCCTGTTTGCCTGTTTGCCTGTTTGCCTGTTTGCCTGTTTGCCTGTTTGCATGTTTGCCTGTTTGCCTGTTTGCCTGTTTGCCTGTTTGCCTGTTTGCCTGTTTGCCTGTTTGCCTGTTTGCCTGTTTGCCTGTTTGCCTGTTTGCCTGTTTGCCTGTTTGCCTGTTTGCCTGTTTGCCTGTTTGCCTGTTTGCCTGTTTGCCTGTTTGCCTGTTTGCCTGTTTGCCTGTTTGCATGTTTGCCTGTTTGCCTGTTTGCCTGTTTGCCTGTTTGCCTGTTTGCCTGTTTGCCTGTTTGCCTGTTTGCCTGTTTGCCTGTTTGCCTGTTTGCCTGTTTGCCTGTTTGCCTGTTTGCCTGTTTGCCTGTTTGCCTGTCTGCCTGTCTGCCTGTCTGCCTCAGCCTGTCAGCTTGTCAGTCTGTCCATCTGTCCATCTGTCCATCTGTCAATCTGCCAGTCTGTCAGTCTTTCCACTCTGTTATTATGCAATGTTATGCCACAACAGTACACCTTCCACCTTTCCAAGTACCACCACTGCACACAACCAAATGAATGCAGGCACCACTCAGTTTACCCCCGCATAATCTCTCTCTTCCTTCCCTCACCCGCTCCCCGTCTGCTCCTCCTCTCTCCCTCCACCCATCTCCCTCTTCCCCCTCACCCCCACAGGGACCTGAGCTGCAATGAGCTTTCAGGGACAATCCCCAACACCATAGGGGGGTTGCTGCAGCTTGAACATCTGTGAGTGGATGGAGGAAGGGGGGAGGAAAAAGGGGTAAGGGAGGTGGCGTGCTGAGGGGAGGGCTCACATTGTACATGCTCGTTGGGGTGGGGTTTCCTCTCAACTGGAAGAGCTCTGAACTGGAAAATTCGGGCAAAAGCTCTGAAATGAAGAATTTGGGAAAAACATATGAAACGGAGAATACGGAGGGGGGAGGGGGGGGGGGGGGGGGGAGGAAAAACTCTGAAATTGAGAACTTTGAAGTGAAGCATCGCAGCAAAAGCAGACGACTAGAGGAGGCGTTAGAGCTCTCTCTCTCTCTCTCTCTCTCTCTCTCTCTCTCTCTCTCTCTCTCTCTCTCTCTCTCTCTCTCTCTCTCTCCCTCTCTCTCTCTCTCTCGAACGGTCCTTGGTATTAATGTCAGCAAGGTACACATATGGTAAGGCTACGGCAATCTCGCAGCAAGGCTACAGCAAAACAACAGCTAACCCCGCACTACCCCAGCCCCAGCCCCCCCCTCCCCGCCCGGCCCTAATGGCCGGAGGGGTCTTCTATCAACTGATACAGCTGCCCCTCGCTCATTGGAGTAAACGGGCCCTGCAGGCCGAGCACATCCGCTGTGAGGGCCTCATGGGTCTTATCCCTGAGGGCAGTGGCTTGCGCTCTCTGCAGGGTCACACTCCACCGCTGCCGGTACTCGGTGAGTAGCCTGGCGCATTCCCTCGACTTGGGAGTGGCGTTGAACCGCCGCCTGGCCGCTAACTCCGCGCAGCTGCGAAGGAATTCCAGGACTCCCCTCGAGGGGTAACCGTAGGTCTCAACCGCCAAGGCGTAAAAGCCCACCCAAGCGCTCCGCCTGGCGTATTTGCTTGCCTTCTTGTCCGCCTGCATTCTAGCAGCCCAACCGGGAGCTTTACGGGCGTATTCATCCTGGTGGGAGACGGGGTCCGTGACCGTGATGTCACAGATCCACACCTCACCGGTGTCGGGATGGCGGATAGAGATATCCGCTTTGAGGTTTTCGACCGGTGAGTAAGCCGTTGTCTCCTTATGCACGGTGAAGCCCGCTTCCGCAGCTATCTTAGCGCACTCGTCCCGAAGGGCATTGTGAGTTGCAATTCTCCCCCCCCCTTTCTCGCGCCGCATCAAATGGTTCGGTAGGCGGTTGTCGGGGAATGTGGTGCGGTATCTGCAGTCGCAGCGCCTTGGCACTGGTAGGGGCAGGCCTAAGCGGAAGGAGGCCGCTGTGGAGAACTGAGAGGGCCCGAGGCGGAGGGAGGAGATCAGCGGGACGGCGAGCAGCCAGTCCCCTGCGCCGGGGCCCAAGAGGGACTGCAGCCGCTGCGTGTGTCCGAACAGTGGGTTGAGCTCCATCTCCCGCGAGCTCTCGAGCAGTTGCATGAACCTTGCGGTTTGAACCGCGAGGGAGAGCGACTGTTGGAGCTTTGGCCCGTCCGGTCTCTGTCTCCCCACTTGGAGGGCCTCGATCCCCTCAGGAGGCAGCTCGGCTTCCAGAGCGGCAAGGCGCCTTGGGAGGAGGGACGTGGATTCCTCGTTGGAGTCCATTAGCGGCAGGAGTCCAGTGAGGGCAGGGTTTGCCGCGTCGCCGAAGGAGCGCAGCAGGTGTGCAGCAGCAGTGACTGCAGCCAGGTAAGCATATCCCCCCTCCACTGCAGGGTTGGTGATGCCCAGGCCTCCCAGGGACGCGGGCAGGGCGGCCTGGTGCCAAATCCTCTCCCTCTCGGCCCGGGCTCTGGGGATTTCTGTGTGTGCTGCGGCAAGGTAGGTATGGAACAGTTCTTCCCCCCAGGCGGACCATTCCCTCAGCGGTAGGGCTTCAAGCGGCGTGGCTCTGACCATGAACGAAGCGCGGCGGCTCACGCAGCGGGTAAGTAGGAGGAGGCAGAGTTGCGGGTCCATCTGGGAGAGGAGCGGGAGCGGTTCAGCAGCAGCAGTAAGGCGTTCCCGCACTCGGGCAGCGCAGCCGGCGGGGGGGCCAATAGGGCTGCCCAAGACGCGGATCCCGTCCTGGGAGATAGTGACGCCGTGGGGCAGAGCGGCGGGCTCCAGGGCTGTGGCGGACCATGCTTCGCATTTCGCGGGGTTGTGGGACAGGCCGTGGCTGAGAAGGGCTTCCGTGAGGTGATTGAAGGCCGCCGTGCAGCTCGCAGTCTCGCCTAGCAGGGTGATGTCGTCTGCGTACGCGAGGAGCACCACCTCTGGGTGGGCCGTCGCCGTTGCAGCGAGACAGGGATGGATGCTGGCCGCGAACAGCATAGGACCCAGTGGGTCGCCCTGGCGCACGCCTCGCGCGCTCTGTAGAGGCGCCGCCTCGAAATCGTGGTCGAGGTAGAGGGCTGATGGGCGGCTGTATGAGAGGCGGACGAGGGGGACCAGGGTGTCAAGCTTCGTGCCTTTCAGTCCTTCAAACACCGCCGCGCGCTCCACGGCATTGAAGGCGTTTGCCAGGTCAATCTGGAGGGCCGTTGCTCCAGGGAACTCCTCCAGGTAGGTGCGGGCCGCGTGTATCGCTGCCTCGATGCCCCCCGCGATCGCTACACCGAATTGTAGCGGGGTGAAGTGGTCGCGCGCTGCAGGGGCGGCCAGGAAGAGCGCCGCCTTTGTGACAATACGTAGCAGACATTCACCCACGGCTATTGGCCTAGTTCCGCCTTGGGGTTTCGTGAAGGCGAGCAGACGCGAAGCGGTGAGTAGATCTGCAGCCTCGGCGTTCAGTTTACCCGCTAGCGCCGTGTTGGTAAGCGCGTGCAGCTGCGAGAGGACGTCGGCGTTCCCAAGGGCCGCATCCCTCAGGTGCTCGAAGGTAGTCCCTGATGGCCCAGCCCCTACGCCGTTGGGGCAACGGGCAAGCAGCTTCCTGAAATCGCGAGCTGTGATTGAGGGCAGAGTCTCAGGGGCAAAGTCTTGCACCCAGTCTGGGATAGCCGCGGTGGCCCTTGGGTGCCTGGCCGTGAGCGCACTCAATACGTCGGGGGTTGGCGAGCAGACGGGAGTGGCAGTTAGCGACTGGAGGGACTTCGCTAGGTTTCCCCTTTTCGCCAATCCCTCGGCTCTCGCCAGCTTTCCCGTGGTGTCAGGTACGTGGCGTGGTTGGGGGTTGTTGTTCACTGCTTCTGCCGCCTCGTCGTAAAGGCCGCGCCACTGCCCTTGGCGAAATCTCGTCAGTCTGTCGCCCATTGCCTTCCAGTCTGGTTTTCGTGCAGATGACGAGCGCAGGAGAATTCGCGGGAGAAACATCAGCAGCTTCCAGCCAGATGTGGAATCAGGGGTTTTGGCGAGGTGCAAAAGTGGGGTCAGCAGGCAGATGGCGAAGGATTCGCGAAGTGGGCGAGGTGGGTGGCGGGCAAGGGGTGGCTGTCTGCTGTCGCGCAGCGGGCCGAGGTCCCAGTTGGCGATGTCAGCGAAAAGGTCTTGACGACCTGCCAGGGTGTCAGCGCTGATAATTGGGGCGGGGGTGGCAGGCGTTGGGCCCGCGTTACTGGCTGGGGCGGTGGTAACCGCAATGTTGGGGGCGGTTCGGTTTGGTCTCGCGGTCCGATTTCTGGGGGTTGGAGTTGCAGATGCGGCTCGGCCCAGGTTTGGATTTTGCCCCACACCTTCGGATGTAGTTCGGTTGGCAGGATCGCCTCGGGCACGTGGGCTGGGGACTTCCTCTCCCTGGAGTAGGCGATCCAACTCCTCTTCATCCTCCTCGACTTCTGCCCCCAACAACCCCTCTCTTTCAGGGTTAAATAAGGGGTCACCCTCGTCACTTCCCTCATTCTCCGCAGCCTCCTCTGTCTCCTCGCGAAGTTCTTCCTCGCCGCCTCTTGCGCTCTGTCGTATCAGCCTCTCCGCGTTTCACGCGAAGCCGCTGGCTCCTGTGCGGCGTCTGTTCGTGCCCCGCGAACTCCCTACGATCGCTACCCCTTCGTCCGCGGCCACTGCCGCGTCCGGCGCGGATTCCGCGTCCGACGCGGATTCCGCGCGTTGCTCTTGCTACCGCGACTCCCTCGCGCCCCGCTTGTGGCGCCGCGGTCGTCTCGTCCACGCCTCGTCGGCGCGCTGGCATCTGCTGCGCTACGGTCGGGAGTGATGGACCCGTCCGCAAGACGGGATCCGGAGCTTGAGCATTCCGCGGAGAGCGCGCCGCAGGAGCCTGCACTTGCCGAGCCTCGACCGCGTCTTCTTGCGCATCCCTCCGCCAGCGAGCCCGTCCGCCGCTTCGAGCGGGTGCAGACTCTTCCCCATCAGCCAGCCGCGCGCCCCTCCTCCCCTGAGTATTCGTGGGCTCCTGCGCGTGTTGCGTCGAACCGTCCAGACGGTCAGCAGCCGCAGGAGCGCGGGCGCTCGCCTCAGCGTCAGCCCCCACGGCAGCCGTCTCCTCGTCGCCCTTCTCCCGCGCGTCGCGAGCATTATCCGCGCAGGGAGGGGGATCAGCGCTCCCCTGAGCGTCCTCGCTCTCCTCGGCGCCCGTCCTCCCGTGGTCGAGCAGGCCAGCGCTCACCCCGAGCGCGATCCCCCGCTCAACAATCACCGCGGCAAGTTCCGGCGACGCGGGGGAGGGGGTCGCCTGGGCGTCGCTGGGAATCGGGTCGCCGCGAGCAGTCCCCTCCGCGTCCGAATTCGGGTGGTTCCGCTGGGCGGCGGGGCCGGCGGAATGGCGGAGGGCGCGGCTCATCTGGCCGCCAGCCGGATCCTGCCCTTGATCACGCTGCGAACACCTTCGTGGATGTGGTGCGGCAGGCCCGGGCGAGCGGGGGGCCGACTCACGTTCACATCGAGGTGACGAATGGACCTCCCTTTGCCGCGGATCCCGGCCAGGTGGCCCCCCTGCGCGCGCCGATGCTGGCCGAGTATCTGCCCGCGCGGGTGGGGAGACCCGAGTATCGCTCCCCTCGTCAGGTTCATGGCTTCTCCGCTGGGCGCTTGACTGTTGGCCGCGTTCCTGGCTGGTCGGCGTCGTTTCCGTGCGAAGAGCAGACTGCACCTCTCCCCAATCCCGCGGGGAGAGACCCCA